CAAACCGACCACAAATTAGCATCCATCCCATTGGCCACATTTTCTATCTAGCGTCAGCTCGCTTCAATATCTCATTCTCCCTGAGGCTCTTTCCATGGTCTGGTCTACATTTCATTCCTCTCGCTCATCCATCTCACAACTCACACTCGATTAACCAGCCGCCTCCACGAGTCTTTGACATTTGGACATTGACTGGACACACCTCACCATTCAGCACAACATCTACTTGTCTAGGGTTACAAACAATAAGGCTATTAGAAGACCATGCATTAGCGCTTCAACATTCGACTCTCGAAAAGTGGTCTTGACGACGATCTCTTGACTCAAATCTCTATAAGTCGTGCATATCTGACCCACCAGCATGTCCTGGTGACGACTGAATTCAGTGAAGCAAATGAGAAATGGATGTGGTGAGGGCGTACCACAAACATATCTGTTGGTGACACGATCTAGCACCGATACTTACCACAGCAAGCCAAGTGTGTCACGACTGACAAACAAGAGAGCACTAAGAGCAATTGTGATGAGTTGGTGTCGAAGGTGTTGCTCAAATTCCTTCTCTGAACGGCGGTTACTGGTTCACGAAGGTGGATGTCCTGACTCACCTCACACAATCCACGATACCCATTCCTACTGGATGCAGTTGAGATACAGAAGAAGACATCAACGCTGGCATCACTTGCTCTCTACCTCTTCCCCTCTCGCCTCCTCTCACATCTTTCGTCCACAGGCCTGTTTATTTTCGACATTAGACCAGAAGCAAACTAATCTTGAGTGTGTCCCTACCTCCAAGTAAGTTTGACGGTGTGGAGGGTAACCCCTTGTATTTCAACCTTTCTTTGATGACTTCTCCTTGGTCCACTTACCCGGAAATGGTTGCACACTCACACATTCTCCAGAGACACATGACAATGCATCGACTCAAGACGAAGTGGTGCCAGAATGGGTGACAGGAATACTACAGGAGGTGAAGCAGTGTGTGTCCAACTGTAAAGGAATACACTGCGAAGCATTACATAAAGTGGAAAGACACCTTTGGTTCTACCACGAGTTCTCGTCTTGTCATCTTGTCACCTTGAGGAAGGATGGGATTTGGGCGGCAGATGGAGTTCGAGGTAGATGTCGACTTAATTGTTAATGGTGGGAATGAAGTGGATTGTTTCACGGATTCACTGTCCATGGCATACGTGAACAATCACAATGTAAATGTCTGCATGCTGTTATGCCTTTGTCACAGGTGTCGCACAATCCTAACCACTGCAATCCTCTTGACTTTACCCTTCATGCTCACTTACTGACTGATACGAGCCTGTGATTAACTTGTTCGGAGGGCCGTTAAGTGGAGCTGATTTAAACTAATCCCATGAAGGGCAATGAAGTATAGCCTGACAATTGAAGGCTCAAAAGTGGACAGACGGGTGAGTCAAAAGACAAAAAACACACGATTTTGCCAACATCACTCGGATCATGTGACAGTCAAAACTGCGGCAGTTGAGTTTACATTTTCACTTACCGCATAGATATCAGCAGACAATGGCATGTTAAGTATTTTGGTTTTGTTGTCTTCTAAACCCCATGGTTTATAACAACTGCCATCCAAACACCATGGAGAAAAAGAGAAATCCAAGTTTCAGGGCAGATGGTGTGGAAATCAGCCTTTTAATTGTTTGGAGGCGATTTTGACAATCAGGCTGAAGTGAGCACCGAGTAGTCGGAAATGCTGAAATTGGCGTCCACTGGACATCATCTTGGTGCACGAATCCCTCGCAATAATGTTTTGTTGCTCAACCTTGAAATATCTGCACAACACTGGACACAGCTACCTAGTTGGCGTGTACCTGCTACACCAAAATCTGTGAGACCTCTCTTCCTCCCACACCACCACCAACCCTCCTCTATCCATATTTACCTCAACTTCACTCACCCTCTTAACCGACTTTTGGCGAACCACTTCCTCACCTACCCAGCTGTTCCAATCACCTACTTCATGTAGTCCCACCAAATGACATCAAATTCGCCACTGATGACAAACGGCAAAAGTCGACGTCTGGGTGACACCAACCTAGCAACAGCAATGACACAGGACAAATTTAACAACCCTGACGCGTGTCAAATCACAGTCACCTGACTCGACATGTGGGAAAAGAAAACATCACAGCATTTCGGTGTTGGCTAAATGCTTGATGACCCAATCATTTGCATTTGCCTCGACCAAGGAGACCAACACCATGACAGGCAAATGTCACCTGTCCGCCTAATTCCACTCCAAGTCAACCGGTGTTGAATTTGGAGATGAAGACGATCCAACTTCCTGCATTTCTTTACTTCTTTGTACATAAATAAAACTGAAGGTAATAGAGGAGTGGTGACACCTCCATTTGCATCATGGCATCCTATTCGCATGAATACGTGAGTGCTTTAACTGTCTCAGAAGTGAATCAGACCTCCGTAATTGCCACACCTCTACACAACTCACTGCAAGAGCTTGGGAGTTTCAGAACATTGCTGTACTAATCACAACAGGAAATAATTGCAGCGTAATTCCCTCTCCATGTCGTGATGAATCATGAAACCCTCTGATATCATGGTTTACTGTTAGTGCGATTTCCCTAACAGTTGGATTGCTTCATCGGAGCAAAGGCAAGGGAAAAACACACTAGCATTTACCTCCACTTCGTGATGTCGCAATCGGCGGTATTTTGAAACATCTGCACGCTTTTTCGAGACACAAATCACAGAAGGACCGACTGTACACAAAACATTTCCTCTTTTCCTTACTCACATGCACATACACCTTCTACTTGGAGACTACTTTTTCACCTTTTTTCCACTCAAAATTCTCCCACTCAAACAAAACTTTTGTGAGCAGGAGCTTACATCGTCATGTCCGCCTAAAATCGACTGCCGTGCAGTGGTCTGGTGTGCAGTGGTCTTATCATTTCCCTACCTAAGTGCGTGTCTAGCTGTCAGGTCACTCTACTTCTATCCTCTCAGGTTGCACCTCCACTTTGCGCCACGCCTTTCGCACCCGGACCTGGACAATAGCAGCCAGCTATTTGCTACCTTAGAAGTGCACATTCCACTTATTATGACTTCACCAAGATAGTGGGACGCTCCACTACACCACACTACACTGCAGTGCACTGCACTCACAGTAGCGAGCTTCACTGACATACTACTGAGAGAGCACTTCAGTACCTCCCCACCTCATGCCAATGCGATACAGGCATCGTGCACATCACACACTACTTCAGGTCCACAAAGCAGGGCAACATTCACAACGCACAAATGTGACATCACCATCAAACAGATGGCCACGAAATTACATCCACCATTCAGTAAACAAGTCAACGTCATCTGCTGCGTCGCCTCCCTCTCCCAATTCTCAATAACAGTGACTAATCTACTGTTTGCCTCGTAAAAAGAGTAAGGAAAGAGAAAATAAGGACATCATTGAAATCTTGTTTGTTTCAAGTCGGCAACGGAAGCAGCGACGGTGTTGCCAACTACACCACTGATTTCACTGGTGACCTGGACAATACACGAATATGAAAGGGTAATCACAACCCACTGCTAATTGCCATTTCGACTGATTTGGTTGGTCAATGTTGAACTGGTACACTTCACCGAGCACAGCTTGAACAAACGCCCCAAACAGGGAACACCTTATTGTTGCCCCTGCATTAGTTGCAGTCAACTTGGAGAAGGTAGTGCTGTACCTCGACGCCACTCCATTTTCCAATGCCTGAGTTGAACAGAAAGACGAATAAGTGCACAGGCTTCTGACGATGAGTTGGATGGATGGAGAAAGGAGGGGGAAGGAAGACACGGTCACACATACACACAACTGTGTAAAGATTGGAATTTGATGCACTAAAGTGTTCACTTCATACGTCTACTCTACTTCCACATGTTCCACTGACCATCTCCTCTCCCACTTCGCCCTTCACAATCACACTCATTCCTACACACCTCGCACACCACACACCACGCACACAGCCAATCAATGCAGAGTTCACCAGCTATTCACATGACATGCAACACTACCCACACCTCGTCTCAGTAGATGTCTCGTGGAGTGCTCTACAAGAGAACACCATCTCCCACTCTACCAGCCATTCACGCCTTCTCCATTACAATCAACTTCTTCAATGCATTCTCATGATTTAATGACTAATCTTTTTGTTTTCCTTGTTGGAAAAAAGACAAAAAGCAAGTAGCAAGGAGGGGGATGTCGGCGAGAGGAGGAGGGAGAAGGTCGCTGAGAGGAGGGTGGCCAGAGCAGCGAGAAGAGGGGTTGGGAGGGGGGGGAAGGGAGGAGGGCAGGCGAGAAGTGAGAGAGAAAAAGAGTGAACAAACAAGCGGTGGTGTTTTTTACGTTCTTCTATTACCATCTTGATGGCGGAAACGGCGGTGTCGGTAGCAAAAAAGCACATATTTTTAATAAATCTCACAGGACACACCACTACCGACACCGACACAGACACCGATCACAACACCAACCACGATACCGACTCCGATGCCGACATCGAGCACATACAAAAAGAAAACATGCACTTGTGCTGCTCATTCTCTCTTCCCCCCTCCTCCATCCACCCTCACATTCCTTCTTTCCACGGCATTTTTTTCTTCTCTCTCCTCATAGCTCTGGTAACAGAGTGC